GACTGCTAGCAGGATTCTGAATTAGTCAGGGTGGTCATTGGGTTAAAAATGAAAGAGCAAAGACATATCTGTCATCTATTCTCAAGACCCAGATGGTGCATCCCTCAGGCCCATCAGGCCCTCAAGGACCTGCATGGACCCTCAAGGACCTCATGGTTCTTTTTTTTTTTTAAAAAAAAATACATGATATGTATATATCATGTATTTTTTTTTAAAGAGAGAGTGAGAGAGGAGAGAGAGAGAATTTTTAATATTTATTTTTTAGTTCTCGGCGGACACAACATCTTTGTTGGTATGTGGTGCTGAGGATCGAACCTGGGCGGCACGCATGCCAGGCGAGCGCGCTACCGCTTGAGCCACATCCCCAGCCCCAGACCTCATGGTTCTTAACCCATCCCTCTACTATTCTCATTTGGGACCTGCTGCCAGGTAATTTTCGTGTGTCATCTAATAGACTAGGTGGGGTTATATCCATTTAAAGACAAGGAAACTGAGGCTCCTAGGGGCAATGAGACTTGGTCAAGGTCACACAGCAGGTGGCAGGATCATCCAATATCTAGGACTGTTCAGTTTGAAGACTTCCTTCTTTCTACCTGTTTCTAATGAGGACATGTATCTTCCTGAACCTTTCTCAGGCTAGCACAGCTGTGGCCCCTGGGGTACTGAGGACCAGCCTTCCTAATACTGCACTTTGCTGACATTGATATGCTGAGGGAGACTCACCATGAAAATTGTTGCAGTGCCCCTCCCACCCCTGGAATCCTCTGGTTTGTGCCTAACCCTACTCAGACCACCAAAGTAGGCTTTTGAGAAGATGAGAACACCACCTTCTCTAAAACAAGCCAGAGCCTCCACTGAACTTAGTCATAAGACCTACATATCCCAAGGTCCCAGGGGGGCAGACTGGAACCTGGCATCTTGGCCATTGGCTGTGTGACCCCAGGCAACCCCTACCCACCATGAACCTCAGTTTCCACATTTGTAAAATGGCCACATAGCTATTAACAGGAATCAAAACAGATCATGCAAACTACCTGCCAGGTAGGCCAAGAGGATGCCTATGACGACCATCAGCTGCACACAGGAGCCGAGCAGTCCCCGGACCGCTGGGTAGGAAATTTCAGAGATATAAATCTGCCAATAATTAAGACAAGACTTTACTCAAGGTCCAAGTGTTCTTAAAACTGAAAGTCCTCTGTCACTAAAAGCTGAGGAGACTCTGCATTGCTCTAGGTCAGCAGAGCCCTGCCCAGGATACCAAGGCCCAGTGCTCTTCTGAAGATGAGGGAGAGGTATAGGCACAGAGCTTCCCAAATGTTCACTTAATGTGTACAAATACCCATTATAAAATGCAGACTTTGAGGCAGTTGGTCTGGTGGGACCCAAGCTTCTGCCTTGCTAACCAGCTCCAGGTGCTCTTGACAGCTGAAGGGGCCTTTTGCCGTTAAGTACATCAATTCACCAACTCAACTGCTACAAGATGCTCTCTCCTTTTAGGCGCAGGGGCCACCAAGGCGCAGCCCACATTTCTAAATTATCCCATGCCTTATGCCCATAACTAAGACAGCTGTTTTTTGCCCAGTAAAAATGAAAACCAAAAACCATATTCACTTCCTCCCTAGCTCCTGACCGCCTAGCAGGTGGGTGAAATGAGAGGCATATGGGTATGACCAGGGAGAGCCCCGAGAAGCTTCTTTCAACTTCCAGCAGGGTGAGGGATGAATGAGTGGTTATCCAAGCCTTGGCTAGCAGCAGTCCACTGGTCACCCAGCAATTACACCAGAGTCCACGTCCCTACAGGATCATGCCATGACCAGGGGCTTCAGGTGCAGTTTGCCCAGTCCTTACAACCACCTCATGAGTAATGCCATGAACTCCACTATAGGGAAGGAAAGAGGCCCAGAGAGATGCTTTGCCCAGGTAAGTGACCCAGGTGTCAGGGGTGCAAAGTGAGCAGCTCTGGGTCAGGGGAGGGTGAGAGAAGCTGGGGAAGGAGACCTGTGAGAAGACAAGGGAACGCAGAAACCAGCAGCCTTTGTTCCAGGAACAAACCTGTAGGGGGAATTTAGTCTTAACCTGGGGCTCTGTTGACCATCCACAGGTGCCACCTTGTTATGAGGTGGGGGGCAAAAGAGGCACAACTGGGTCCCTGGGTTCCAGTAATCCATCCAGCTGACTAGCCTGGGCCCCTCTGGGCAGAGGACTTCGTCTTTCTGAGGCAGTTTCATCTGGCGGGGCCTCCTTCCCAGGGCGTGGTGAAGGTTGGGGAGGTAATACCTGTAGGCACCGGGGCTTGGGACCCCATCCAGGAAGACACTCACCGGGGCCACTAGTGAGGCGACGCCGCAGGCCAGGCCCGTGAGGAGGCGGCCCCCGAGCAGCATCCACACGTCCTGGGCCGCAGTGATGACGGCAAAGCCGGCCACAAAGGGCACCGTGCAGAACAGGAGGCTGAGTTTGCGCCCGGCGCGGTCCACGAGCCAGCCGCCCAGGACGCCCCCCGCCGCGGCGCCCAGGGTCACGATGGCCTGGGGGCGAGGCGACCGCGGGCTGAGGAGGGGCCAGGGACGGCAGTCCACGCTCGCCCTCCGCCCCACGCCCTGCAGCCTCAGAAGAAAGGCAGTTGGGGTCCCGGGCTGGTGGCCGGGGACCGGGAGACTCTGGGTGGGGCCGACAAGATGCATGCGGCGGAGGGGAAGGGGAGCGGGTGGACGCGGGGGTCCCAGGTGGGCTGGCGTGAGCCCCGGCCTCACCCCGAACCAGGAGGCGGTACTGTCGTCGAGGTGCGGGGCCGGGGGCACGGAGCGCCTCAGGCTCGGGATGGCCGGGGAGCTGTAGCCGAGCGCGAAGCCGAAGCTGAGGGGGCCCAGGGCTGCGGCGAAGGCGGCGAGGAAGACGCGGCGGCCGCAGGGAGAGCTACGGAGACAGGGCGAAGGGTGAGAGGAGCCGGCAGAGTGGGAGGGCAAGGCCACGTCCCCTGCCGCTCACCCGCCGCCCGGCGGCCTCAGGAGCGGATGGGACTCTTCCGAGTTCTCAGGCGTCATGTCGGCGACCAACGCTTGCCCAGCTGGCTCTGACGCCCGAACCGCCACGGGACCCGCGAGTGCTGCCTCAGACTTCTCCCGTCAGAGCGGGCCAATGGGCGACGGCGGGCGGTGCTGAGGCGGGATCTGAACCAGTATTAGCCAATGGAAACGCAAGGCGGGGTTAGCATCTGCGCTAGCACCCGCCCCTCAGGTCAGAGTCGACCACTGGAAGCACAGGGTGGGCGGGCCAAGCGCCCTAGAGCCGCCCCTCGGGCGGACTGACTTAAGTAGAGGTGGAGGACGGAGTTTGCGTCCGCCAAGAGCACAACCGTCCAATTGGAGTGTGGTGCGAGTCTGGAGGCGGGACCATAATAAAAAAGCTACCTCAGAAAAAAGTTGGCCAATGAGGGTGGAGGGCGAAGATTTCTTTCTTTCTTTCTTTTTTTTTTTTGTTTTTCCTCCCGCATTTGCCCGAAGCCGCCTCTCAGTGATTTTCAAGTAGGAGAGGGACATAGGCGGAGCACACAGACGGGGCCCAAATTTGAAACCCCAGCTCCAGGCAGCTGTGACTGTCTTCCGAGGTTAGGTCTGCAGTTCCTGCTTGGTGTTAACCGTTGCCCTGGACCTGGGCTGGAGTCGCCTGACCCAACTCTGCCCCATTGACTCAGGGGCCGAGACTGGCCTGGCGCTTCTGCTGGGGTACTAGGGGCTGAGGCGTAGCTAGTCCTGGGCGTGGTAACCCATCTCCACCCCGCGCAGCGGATACAAAGCCGGTAGGGTCTCCTGCTGAGGACGTGTTAGGCGGGGGGGGGGGTGTCCCCCATTCCTGTATGTGTGATTGAGCTAGGTTTAAATGCTGAACTCTACTCTCCCTTACCTCACTGACTCTTGAATCTTCATCTTAACTACCTCCCATTTTTGAGTCCCCTGCGGATTCTAGAAACCAACTTGTCCACGTGTGCACCCATCATGCCACCGCTGTCAGTGAGGGTGGTGAGGCTCTGTATTCATTTGCCATCTGTACTCAATTCATATCCTACACACTGGGTGCAGGCAGCTGCAGTGGGGTACTGGTGTAATTCTGAAAAGAATTAGGGCTTTGGGAGCAAGAGATCCATCCCTGGGTCTCTGTATCCTCATCTCTAAGAGTTAGGGATGCTAATTAATCTCCAGGAGAGTTGTGAGCAGGGTCACAACTATATGAAAGACTAAACATATGCCAGCATATGCTGGCCTGTATGCTTATGATAGTGGTTGGACTCACTGCAGTCACCTGATTGTACTAGCAACCAACATTTTTCAGTCTTGATTACAACACTATATCTAAAGATAGGCAACTGCCCCTCTGAACTTCCACAGCATCTCATGCCGGGGTTGTAAATTCTTGATTGCAGCATTTATAACTACTTTGTAATCACCTGCTCATTTATTTCCCAAAAGATATGAGTTCCTTTTGACAGTGGTCATCCCATGTTTGCAAAGTGGGTGAGGGCCACAGACCCTTTAATTTGTAACACAGGGCAGTAGCAGAGAGGCTTAAGTAGACAGGATGCTGCTGGGAGCCCAGCTTGCACCAGACAGCCTGTGAGTCATAGACCCCCATACACCTGTTCCTTTGGCTGGTAGTCTTCCTCCCCATATGTGTGCAGACATTGTTGCCATATCAGGCTCTCACCCACTTTTCATTTTTTGTTGTTGTTATTTTTACCCCCTTTAGGTAAATAAAGCACTATCAGCCTGATGAGTAGGGTCAACCTCTTGTCCTCTCTGTACTCCTCAGATCTGACTCTTATCAAATCATAGGTGGCTTTAATGTAAGAAACTTTAAAAAAATGACAGAAAACACAGATACAAGCTCTTGAAGCTTACTAATTAACAAGAAAAACACCAGCCAGTTCCAGCTGACCCAAGGCAGAGGTGAGAGCAAGGGCTCTGGGATCAGATAACTTGCAGATTCAAATCATTGCCTCTTCCTGAACCTCAATTTCTTTATTTGATAAGCAGGAATAATGACCCTAATTCACAAAATTGTTGGTGGTGTCAAACTATAGCATATAATTGATTTTGTATCCTCCTGGCCCCTCTTATACCCATCCATGAATGAAAAGGCGCAACAAAATACAAAGAATGGGAATGCTAAATGCTGCAAAGGGTAGGAGGAGACATGTCTAGTTATAACAAGCCCCACCTGAGTACACCTAAAAACCACTATTACTCTTTCTTTTCTTTCGGTGCTGGAGATTGAATTTCCTGTCTTGCCAAGAGGAACCAGACTCTTTCAACCTGGGTGTGTTGTGCTGAACTGTTTGTGCAAAAGTCAGAGAGGGGAGTCTTCCCGCAGTCCCATGATGAGAGAAGATTCAAATGTCTATAAAATCTGTCAGGTCGAGGTTCTGTCCAACAGTCCTTTGCACTTAAAAAGAACACTTGTAGGACTCATCAAAGCTGCTTTCGTGGGGACAAATAATTTAGAGCAAATTATTAAACTTTTTCCCATGGGTGATGGAGGCAAGAAGACATACAATAAAATGGATTGAGCTACCCAAAGCCAAAGGTAAATTTCCTTCTTCACAAAGCTTAAAATTTTTATAGGAAACATCAGTGAAACTGGAGTTTCCCCATCTTTCTCTTCTGACTTGAGGTTGATATTTCCTACTTCATTTGCACTAGGCCCAATCCACAATTTTTCTGGCTCACTCTGAGGAAGGAGCTGGAAGGCAGATGCATGGTATCCTTCCTCTGAAGGATAATGATTTGGTTCATGTGAAAGAGCAAGACAAACCCACAAGAGGAGGGAATTTGAGGATTCGTTTGATCACAAGGGAGAACCTGGTTATATCTCAGTAACAAAATCAGACAGAATAATCTTAAGACTTTGACAAGTTCCTATGCCTTATTATTTATCAAGAGACACAAGGAGGAAGAAGGAGCTTCTGAGATCCAACCATGCAGCTCTTCTCAAGTCTATAGACAGGAACACAGCTGGTTCCAATCACAGTGAACTCAAGCAGTGGGCCAACAGTGCAGAAAGAAAACTTATTTATAATAAAGTTAAAAAGCAATGGCTACTCTTTATAAAAGAAACACATTGTGTGACATAAATCAAAACTATACTGAAAAAATAATTTTCCATCTAAGTATATAAAATATAAGAGAAGTTGCAGTAAATAAGAATGAACATTTTTGATTTATTCAAAGTTTCAATCTAAAACTTCAATGAAATCTACCACCTTTATTACAAGGGACTGATGGTTCCTGAAAGGAAAGAAACAAAGGTCAAGAAAGATGGCACCGGGCATTGGAAAGTGACCCAACTGGCCGAGTGTGCAGAAAGTTTGGTCCAATAGATCGCTGACAGGCTGGAGCCACATTTTGTTGAGAAATGATGTTAGAACTGTTTAAAGAGTATAAACCTCCATAAGAAAACTAAGGATGGCAACAACACTTGGACTGTTTACTTCAAGTCAATAATGTCTTCATCTGAGGAAGCTGTGAGCTGAAAGGGGCTGCTGCCCCAGACCGAGACGGGGCTGCCCTCCCTCTCTGCCACTGGGTCCTGGTCAGAGCTTGTGGAGTGGTAACAGGCCTCGGGATTGACTTCAGAAGTAGAAGGACTTTCCAAGGAGCCTGATGGGATCCTGGAAAAGAAAAGTCACTGTCAAGGACTCAATGGGAACACCAGGGAACTGGGCTCATTGGAGTGTCTGCCCTGTCCCCATCCCAAGGGGAAAGGTGTGGAAGTACAGGGGTCCCCTCCCCAATTCAAGCCTTGGAATCAGATAGCCCAGCTCTGGGGCTTGTGAGGACTAAAGACCAGGGTGTGACACAGAATTGTTGCTGAAGCATTATTCATTCACCTCTCTGAAGTGAACATCTGGATAATGTCACTCTGCCTCAAAACCTCCAATGGCCTGAGGATAAGCTGAAATTCCACCCATAGCAGAGGTACAGGGCCTGGGCTGCTCCAGTCTCCAGCCAACCAGTTCCCTTTGCTTTCTCCAGCTCCTCAGGACCCTCTCTTGATAGCTGCTTAAATAATTTGACCCAAACTGGTTCTGTGTCTCAAGGAGGGCATGACTCAACAAACACTCCTGAGCCTGCTCTTCCTGCTCAGCCTCATACCGCCCCTGCCTGTTCTCTATGTTCAGCCTGTCCATTTTTTCCTTCTTTCTCTGGCCACAGTGTGCATGCTTCACGGTTCTTTGCCCCCAAGTCCCTGCAGTCACAGGAACTGTTCCCCTAGTTCCTTATCATTCATTCCAAGCCTAGCACCATGACATTTCCTCCAAAATCTTCCTTGACCCCTGTCAAAGTTGACCTTCTAGGGGCTGGGGCTGAGGCTCAGTGGTGGAGTGCCTGCCTAGCACATGTGAGGCACTGGGTTTGATCCTCAGCACTGCATAAAATGAAATAAAAGTCTATATACAACTAAAAAGAAAAAAAATTAGAAAAGAAGTTGACCTTCTATTTGCCACCCAATACTTATATTATTTAAAATCTCTTTATAGCATTTATCATTATTTGAGATGATTTGCTTATTTGTTTACTGTTGACTTCTCTGGGGCAAAGTCCCTGGGGCAGAGGCCTTGTCACTGAGTGTTGGATTAAAGCACTAGTGAGGGCTGCCTCTCCTCTGTCAGGCTCATACACACTTGCCCTAGGATTCATGCTTGATATGCTCCTGCCCATGTCACTTGTCACCTTGGAAGCAGTGACTGTGGGGCTCTTGATCTTCGCCACTGGCCCGTGAGCCCCCTGAAAGCCCAGATTGGGGCTGGGTCATTTCCATATCTCAACCCCTGTTCAGTGCTAGGTTCTCCAAGAATGTGTGTTGGGTGGGTGAACAAGCAAAGCTGGACACAGCTCCATTACCCTGCATACACAGGAGCCATGATGCTGCCTGAAGGACAACAGTAGAGCTTACGGGACAAAACTGTGTGACCCAGCAAATATTACATGTGATGCTGAACCGCCATTCAGAAGGGCCCTCCCTGTTTACATGCCCAGTGGTTAGTATTGATAGTGTTTGTGTATGGCTGGGGATAGAACCCAGGGGCTCACACATACTAGTGTTATGGGCAATGACCAAACAGACTCCATTTTACCCTGAGACTTCATATCATGTAAGAAATGCTTTTCCCATGTGAAAGCCCTTCCTCTGTAACCATCAATAGTTACATAGCATAACTTGGCAACACAAAATAGCAATTCTTACACAATGTAAAATAGTTCTCCTTCCTTTCCATTTTTCTTGGGCAGTGTACCTTGTCAGAGATTGATTGTCTAGATGTTAGTAACCATTCTCTAACTTGTACTAAACTAAGGTCATTTTGACCCATTCTGATTGCTTGCTATTATGCCAACCTGGAAAGTCTGTGGGAAATACCAGTGTACCCATTGCACTGTCTCGTTAATTGCCCAATTCAGCTTCTGTACCTGCTTGCTTGCAGCTACATCAACCCAGATGTTGTTTTTTTCCTTTAAATATTCTAGAATGCTCAGGCTCAGGGCTGTTTCTTACAGAGACAGTTATGGGTCCTGTAGGGAACAGTCATCAGCTGGCCAGCTAAATAAAGACTCTTCATTTTGGACAAAATTGTGACTTGGTGTATTTTCTGAGCGACCTGCCCCACAACAGTAGGTGGGTGATTTACTACTGAGCTACATTCTCAGACCTGGAACTCTTAGTAAGCAGTTCTGTTGCTACAAATTTCTATCCATCTGAAGGGAGAAAAAAAGTCTCAATACATTTTAATTTTTTTTAATTTTTGGGGTGCTGGTGATGGGAACCAGGGCTTCCCACATGCTAGGCAAGTACTCTACCACTGAGCCACACCCTAGGCCCTCTTGATATATTTCAGTGAGCATTTGTTTGATTGCTAATAAGGTTGCTTGTTTGTTGAGCTCTGTCCTGGCAGGTTCTGCTCTTTGAGGGTCTCAGAGAGGAACCAGATGCTGACCCTGTGTCATGCTGGCCAAAAGGCCTCCTGGGCACTGCTGTGGTACATAGGGCCACTGCTCTGGGCAAGGGCTGGTCCCCTCTTTACCTGTCACTGCTAGTCGATCTCACTGTCCCAGGCTTGGGGCCTCCTTGGTTCTCTTCTAACCGTTTCCGGGGTTTTGATTTGGCCCTTGGTGCTCCTTCTGCCCTGGGTCCACTTTCATCTGAGAGGCCTGGATTACAGAGGAGAATCCTAGGGTCATTACCACGCAGCTGCCATGGAGATAGGAAACACCCTTTTTGTTCTTGGTTGAGTATTGGTGTGTTATTGGGATAGAGTCAGGAAGAAAGATGATAGGATATATATAAACTCAGCTTCCTTGTTGGTAAAGGGGTTTTCCTCCTTTTGACTATAAAATATATATGCATTGCAAAAAACCAAACCAAAACCAAAACAAAACCCAACCAACTAACCAATCAAACAAAAGTCCCCAAAGAGACTCAGAAGAGCCTAATAAAGGAGATAAAGTCCCTCCAGTCTTATAGCGAGTGATTTGTCTTTCTCTGACTCATCAGGTTTCAGTTTCTGAAAGGCTTGGTGGTTTGTACAACAGTGGCCAGCAGATGAGGCTTTCAGATGAAAGAGTGGGTTAAAATAGCAATACACATATTTTACCAACTCCAACTGTAAAAACCACCCTGTCAAGTGGCCTGAAATACTTCTCCAGTTATTCAGAAAACACTACTGTAGGGAGGAACGCACCAAAGCCAACTGTCCTTGTAATTTTTATGCCATGTTGATCCCAATTCTAGTGTTCAAACCAGTTCTTACTGGTTTAACATGATGCTTCAATTTTTCCATTTTTTAAAAAATTTTTTAATATTTATTTTTTGGGCTGGGGATGTGGCTCAAGCGGTAGCGGGCTCGCCTGGCATGCGTGTGGCCCGGGTTCGATCCTCAGCACCACATACAAACAAAGATGTTATATCCGCAGAAAACTAAAAAATAAATATTAAAAAATTCTCTCTCTCTCTCTCTCTTTTTCTTAAAAAAAATTATTTTTTAGTTTTCGGTGGACACAACATCTTTGTTTGTATGTGGTGCTGAGGATCGAACCCGGGGCCGCACGCATGCCAGGCGAGCACGCTACCGCTTGAGCCACATCCCCAGGCCAATTTTTCCATTTTTTGTTTCTGCAAATCTGAATAAGAAGCTTCCAGCCTTTTGACAATGACCAAGGGGCCTCACGTTTTTCTGGTTGGGCCTCTGTGCATGCTGGGAGAAGAGGGCATGACAAATGCCCTGCATCTGGACTTGCTCTCAGACCTGCCCCTTTGGCCATTGGGCTGGGAGAAATGATAAGGGAAGTGAGGTGTGTGTGTAAAAATGTGGTAAATTTCCACTTCTGGATGTACCAATATAAAGTGGTGTCTGAGAACTGTGGGCCACAACTCCTGATAGATGCTTTTTTAGACTATTAAACATATATAGATACTTTTATTTAAAAATTTGAACTCCACTAGACACAGTGTTTTATAAACTGCCTGTTCCTCCTTAGCAAGGCTTGGGCAGTGTTCTCCACCAATAAATACAGATCAACAGCATCACTTTTGTTGGGAAAACAATATGGTATTCCCTGGACTATAATTTATTTATAAATCCCTTCTTAAAGGGAAATTTTTTTTAAGTCATAGTTTTTGAGGATGCTTAATATCCAAAGGTAAAACTAGCTAGTCTATTTGTCAACGGTGAAAACACAAATATTGAAAGCCATTACCTAGCAGTTCCCTGCGGGTCCTGCTTGCTATTTCTTTAATCTCCATGCGTGACAGGGACAAGGAATGAGTGACAGGAATGGCAGCGATGCCAAGGCTGATGGAAGTGGGCGGGGTGATGACCTTGGAGACTAAGGGTGATTTCAGAGGTCGCTCGATGCTTCTGCCGACTAGGTTTCTAAGTGGAATCCTGTACAGATTTTTTGACTGAATTTCACCTGAAATATGATTTAGAAAACAACATAAGAACGTTAGGTTGCTACTATTTACAAGAGAATAATTTTCTGTTCCTCAATATAGTTAGCATGAAGAAAGGTTTTGTCACATGCTGATCTTCCATGACACAAGCAGTGGCTCCAGTGGCTTTGTGTCTTCTATGGACTTCCTCTTCATGTATTTAGATTAGATAAAATGCACTTGTTATGGTTATGCTTGGCCAGGAGAAAAGCAAGACAAGAAAGGCAAAGAGCTGCCTTGCCTGGGGGCCCCATGCTTTATCTTAACAAGTGATAAGCACCACTCATGTGGCAAGAAGTTACAAGGTACTGTGTTCACTGCCATGCAGAAACCACTGCGGGCCGCCAGGGTTCCCAGTGGGTGTGCTGAATGATGCTGAGTCTTTATGACTAGGTACTTCTAGCTACAAACCCATGACCGTTAATATCCCTGAAGGAGAGATTATAGCTTATTGCAAGTCAGAAACTCTCTAGCCCTGAATTCCCTTTTCCCTACTGAAACAATTTTTTTCATAATGGGACCTTTTTCTTTTTAAAAGCACAAAGTTTCTTAAGAACACAACCAATACATTCACATTGCAAGATTCTTTAAGTGGCTTTAAATAGTGGCTCCCCCTCCACCTGTATTCAAGATTGAATCTAGGGTGCTCCAATGTTGAGCTATATGCCAGCCCTTTTATTTTTTTTATTTCAGACAGGGTGTTAAGTTGCTCAGACTGGTCTTAAACTTGCCATCCTCCTCCTTAGCCTCCCTAGTTGCAGGGATGACAGGCATGCCTGGCGAGGAGAGTAACTTCTTTAGGCAACAGTCACCTGTAGATACTTGACAATGAACTAGAGAAATCAGAATGGATTAAAAACAGCTATTTGTAAGACAGTAAAGATGGGGCTTCACCTTCCCCCAGGGAAGAAGGAAATACTGCAGTGTCTCGGCCTGGGGGTGTCTGAGGAGAACTGTGGGCACTGGCTCCCTTGGAACTGCCTCCAGATGAGACCTCGGGCACAGTCGCGGCTGCTGTGAAGTATATATCTGACTGAAAAGAAGAGAAAGGGTTATTGAGCTGCCTGGATTTCCAGCCCCACACCTACTGGCCCTCTGCCATCACTGCCAAACCCCATTTGGTCCCCGGCTTGGCTATGACATCCTGACATGCTTAGGGTGTGCAGCCTGGTACAGGACGGCCAGTGGGGGCCTCCAGAGTGCCTGGCACAGCATTAGACTTCCCTGAGGATTGGGTCTCTCCACTTCCTGTATCTATGTGTTGATCTATAGCAGAAAACAGCCCTCACACTTGTGCAAACACAGATGCCACACACATTTCCCTCGTGGGAATCTCAGGTACCTAGGGTTTCAGCTGGAAGGGATCTGAGGTTCTGCCAGTCCATTCTGCAGAGTGGAGGTGGATGTTCACTCAAACATCGACAAACATTCCAGCACCCTATGTGCTGGCTTTGGTGACAACAGCTGTAGTATGTTGGATATGACTCATGACAGCCAACTTTCAGGAATTCTGCAGGCCAACTCTTAAACACAGCCATATTAAATGTTAAATTGTGCTCAATATAAGAAAACAACCTTTTCTAATTATTGGAAGACAGGTACTATTATCTGTGCTCTTGTGGTTATTGACATCAACATGATGTGTACAGTGGAAATGATGTCCAGTGGTGGCCACTGCCAGCTCTTCCTACCCCACTTTCAGTGATGCTGCACAGTAAGCTGGAAACCAACTACAGTGGGACTATTTATACCAAAGCAATTGGCAAGGCTAAAAACCAGAGCTTGATTTGTGGTTGTGTTGACTGTTTCCACCAAGGCAATGTGGACCTGAAGATCAAACTTAAAAGTGTATTGAGTTTAGAGCTAGGGCCAGAAGAAGTTCTGGTTTAATGACTACGGTTTGTTTCCAGGTGAGAAAGGTGAACAGTAGGCCACATATCAGATTTACGGACAATAAACTTATTGGAGAAAGAAGTGGGCTGAGAAATAACTATAACCATAAGATCATAGTTTCCTTATAGCTGTTGGCTGGCTATGAATATAAGAGCTCAGCAAAAATTAAATGTGTTAATAAGAACCAACTGGCTATGGGTTTTATGATAAAGAACATTGTATATTTTACTATTGTTTGTAAATTGAGAGCTTTTTTATATCAGTAACACAATCAACTAATGCTCACACCCACAACACACACACACCCATTTCCCCATATGATGGGAGTTAAACTTGATGCCCACCACCTGCATTGCTACTGGGAAGACCTTGCCACATCAAGTAGGAAGCAGCTGCCCTCCACCCAAGTGTGGGCAATGTCAGTCAGGACCCTTAGGACCACGTGCCCCAGGGCCCCAGCCCAATGTGCCAGTGATGGCAGGCACTTGTGATGTCACCTGCGTCCCTGTGCTGTGCTCAGTCTTTGTGTTATGGGACATGGATTAGTCAATGAGCCACATTACACAGACACAAACTTTAGCTGAGGCTGGAAAGTGGTCAACGGCTATTTCAAGCTCCTACTTTTCTACACTTGAATGGTCCTTCAGGGCAGCAGTGACATGAATGGATTTCTCTTTTCAGCTGGGTGTCCTCAACTGCCATCACCACACAGTGGTTGTGTCCACACAACTGAGAAGCACTATGAAGGCTGAGGAGGCCACACACATGAGCCCACCCCTCGGTCTTGTTGCTTTTTCTTCTCATTCCTGGAATGGTGACACACAGTAGCATTGTCACCAACCAACCAACTTGGTGAGAGGCAGTTTCTGTGCTCACCTGAAATCCCACAGTGCTGGGGCTCCCTAGGCCCCTCCCATGGAAATAAAACCCCAGTTCTCCTCACCCTGGAGGCCACGAGCTGCAGCTGCGGCACCACGGCCGTGTGGACCAGGTTCCCGTTCACCACCAGGCGGATCTCCATGGAGTCGGGCGTGAAGGCCAGGAGGTACGGGAAGGCGCAAACTGCAAGGTAATGGCAGTCAGCACCCACCGCTGGCCAGGTGGCTGCGGACGGCCATGACCGTCCGTCACACAGTCATCCTCACTGCTTCAGAAACATCCATCTCTCACGGCCCTGGCTGCTTCTCTTCTTCCTTCACAGGGCCACGGCCCCCTGTGCTTAGATGGCCTTTGCTCCCGAGACCTTCTCCCCTTGGCTGCCACCCAGGTGAGCGCTGTCCGCACTTCTTGCCATCAACCCACCTTCTGGTAGCTCACCTGCCAGAGCCCTCAGGATCTGCCCCCTTATCACCCAGACTGCAGCTCCACACACCCCTCCTTTGGCACATGCCATCCTGCCTGGAAACTGGTTCCTGTACAGTTTCTTCAAGCCCAGCCCATATCCCCACACTTGGTCTCTCCTCCCCGTTCTTCTGGCTGTGGGCCTGGGCAGTGGCTGCATCTTGTCCCTTCATTGTCCCTCACAGCATCCCTTGGGCTTCAGGGGTTTGCTCGTTGGCAAATGTCAGCCCTTTTCCTTGTAATGGTCATTATGACACAGACTTCCCTGAGTGCCCTGTGATTGCACCTGTGTCCCTTTGCCTGGTCCCCATCGTGCTCTTGTGGTCCTTTACTCTGGCCCTTCCGTTCTGCACTCAGTCTATCCACCATGCCTCTGACTTTGACCTCTCAAGCGACCTCTAGTGGCTCAGCCCCTGGAAGTCATCTGGCACTCTCCCATCTCATCTGTAAAAACCTGGCAAGTCGCCCAGGCCTTGCCTTGCTTCCTCTGCTCATCCCTTAAAACATTACAATGCGGATCTATTAGGAGATGATTTCACTGTGAGGAAAACAGCATAACTGGAAAATTCCTGGCTCTGCTCTGACTCTCAAAGGCAATGCCCAGCTGCAGGTCGTGAGCCACAGACAGAGCAGCACCACTCGGGTCTTAGCATTTTAGTGGCAGGTAATGTACCTGCATCTCTGTGATTCTAGACTTTTAGGCTTCAAGATATGTGAAAATGGCCTGGAAAGCACCGGGCTGCCCAGAAGTCACTCAGCATCCTGAGGCTGGAGACCTTGTGCTTGAGTTTTAAAAAGAAGAAAGTGAGGCCCAGAAATGATGAGCAGGCACTGAAAATGATATTTAGTTGCTCTTGAATGCACATGTGCTCAAGCTCTGGGAAGAGCCAGGAGCGGAAGACAAGAGCCCCAAAGGGGCACAGAGCAGGAGTACTTTAAAAGAAAAGCCCCTGAGAGTTCCTCACACGCATACACTTCAGGGCAGTGTAGAAGTTCAGACACAGCGGTCAATGGGAAAGTGTCATGATGGGTTTTCTTACCAATCGCATACGGAGCCTGGTTCCAACAGAACTGGAAATCTGACGCAGAAGGTTGAACCAAAAAAGAGCCGCCATTAAATGGACAAACCTTTTTATAGATGCAACTGTCTGCAATGAAAACAACAGCACTCGTTTTGTGAGAGACCACATTACAACTAGAGAAACAACCAGAATAGCATCCTCTCAGCTAGTTCTTTATAAATACCTAGGGGCAACACTGTTCTGATGCTAGATGCTAAGGGCCAGAGGCAGCCCGAGCCAGAGTAATGTTAGGACTGCAGATACTAACAGCTGCCATTTGTGGAGTCTACTGCATGCCAGGAGCTGAGCTTTAACAACACCATCCCATTTAATTGGTTCGACTTTCTGAAGCACTTCCTATACAAAGAAAGTACTGTTATTATGCTTATTTCACAGAAGAGAAGACTGAGGGGAGGAGAGGGAAGTAGCTCCTCTGGCCTCATAGGTACTGCCAGGGGCAGGGTCCAGACCCAGGCCTGTGGCTGCAGGGGGTGTGCTTCCTGCCTCTGCCATAAGGTCCCCCCCCATGTGTGAGAGATCCAGAAGGGCTCTGATTGGCAGTCTTCTGGTGGAGGGAGTCCGCTGGCAGGGTGGGTCCCACTGGAGCCTCACTCAGGACAAGTGTCGGGGAGCTGGATACGCCCTGTGCTGTTTCTCCATGAGAACCTGAAGCTTCCTGTGCATCCCCCTGGTGAACCAGAGCCAGCACTACATTAAAGTCTGCTGAGTTCAGTTACACTTTTCCACACTCTGAACCCAAGTTCATGTGGCTCAGATACCATCAGAGTGACGAAGTCTGGTAGGCCCCTTTTGTACAGAAGTCATCACGGTTAGCCTTACAATTTTATTGTAATATTAGTTTTAAAAAGCTCTATTTTAAACCATAATATTCATCCACTTAAAAGTGTACGGTTCTGCAAATTTTAATATATTTACAGAATTGTACACCAGTATCCAAACCTAATTTTAGAACATTTTATCACCTAAAAAGACCCATGCCCACTAAATAGTCACTCCCATCCTACCCAGGCCCTCGATACCATTAATCTACTTCCTGTCTCTGAATTTGTCTTTCCTGGACATTTTATTTAAATAGCATCATATAGTTTGTGGCCTGATGTGTCTGTTTCTTCACTGAGCACAATGTTTTAAGGTCCACCAAGGTTTCAGTGATTTTTTTTTTTAATGGAGAAGTAATATTTTTCCTTGTGGACACACACATTTTGTGGGCCTCTGGTTGTTCCCACTGCTTGCTGCTGTGGACATCCCAGGATGAGTCTGTGTGGCTTCACTTCTCTGGTGGACACACACTGGAGTGAAATTTGCTGGGTTATAAGTGAGTCACATAATTTTATTCAGAATGTGACTATTAAACACTCTTTTTACATCGACAGCTCACATATTTATGGGGTTTACTATATTTTTGTGTTTTGTTGTGAAAAATTCAAGAAACCAAGAAAAACATAAAGCCACAGAGAAGGACTGATGACATTTTCATATTTCTCCTCCAAAAATTTTTATGAAGGAATAAAAAAATAGAGAAATGTTCTAAGAAGAGGCAGAACTGAACTTGAAAAAGTAATTTCCTTTTTTCACTTTTTTCTATGTGTTCTTCTAGAACATGTTTAAATCACTGTATGGCATTTCAGTATTTGAACATGACAAAATATATCTTGTTCCCTTGTTTCCAGAGATTTTTGCTTTTCAGAAGATGTTGTAACAGATGATCAAGCATTTCTCCTTCACAGTTCATTAATTGCTTTTTAAAATAATTGCCTGTGAGTCAATGTTGGGTCAATTTAAAATCATATCCTGCCAATTTCTTCCCCAAAAGGCTGGACCACCTAGACCACATCTAACCACAGGGGATGCCTGACTGCCTATCCCTGCCCATCTCAAGGCCAAATCACTGCCCAGGACAGTATGCATATTAAAATTTTCAGTGAGGCACATTTTTTTTTTTTTCTTTTGGTACTGGGGATTGAACACAGGGGCACTTAACCACTGAGCCACATCCCATCCCTTTTTATTTTTTATTTAGAGACAGGATCTTGCTAAGTTGCTTAGGGCCTTGCTAAGTTGCTGAGGCTGGCTTCGAACTTGCGATCTTCCTGCCTCAGTCTCCCAAGCTGCTGGGATTAGAGGTGGGCACCACTGAGCTCAGCTACTTTCTTGTTTATTTTTATTTTTTTGGTACTGGGGATTGAATTCAGGGGCACTCCATCACTGAGCCACATCCCCAGCCTTACTTTGTGTTTTATTTAGAGACAAGGTCTCACTAAGCTGCTTAGTGTCTCGCTGTTGCTAAGGCTGGCTTTGAACTTTCGATCCTCCTGTCTCAGCCTCCCGAGTTGCTGGGATTATAGGTGTGTGCATCCAGCTCCTTTCTTATTTTTAAGGATTAGGGCTGGGGTTGTGGCTCAGTGGTAGAGTACTTGCCCAGCATGTGTGAGGTGCTGGTTCAATTCTCAGCACCACATATAAATAAATGAATAAAATAAAGGTCCATCAACAACTAAAATATACATATAAAAAAAAAAAAACAGGGGCTGGGGTTGTGGCTCAGTGGTAGCCATGAAATGATACAGCAGTAAGAAGACCTTGACTAGATCTGGTTCCTTGATCTTGGCCTTTTCAGTCTCCAGAACCACAAGACAGACAAACTTCTACTGTTCATAAATTACCTGGTGTGAAGTATTCTGTTATAGCAGCACAAAGTGGACTAAGGCATTTATGATCCATTGTATTCTTTGATGAAATGTCTAATGGAATGTTTTGCTCTTTTTAAAAAAATATTTATTTTTTAGTTACAGGTGGACACAATATCTTTATTTTATTTTTATGTGGTGCTGAGGATCGAACCTAGTGCCTCATGCATGGTAGGCAAGTGCTCTCCCTCTGAGCTATAACGCCAGCCCCGCTCTCTCTTTTTAAAAAAAAAAAAAAAAAAAATATATATATATATATATATATATATTAGTTGTAGTTGGACACAATACCTTCATTTTATTTATTTATTTTTTTATATGGTGCTGAGGATCAAACCCAGCATTTTGCATATGCTAGGCAAGTGCTCTATTGCTAAGCCACAACCCCAGCCTCTCTGCTCTCTTTTTAATTGGGTTATTTTCTTTCTTTTTTAAAAATTTGTGTTTAGTTGTAGATGGACATGATATATTTATTTATTTATATGTGGTGCTGAGGATCGAACCCAGAGCCTCACACATGCTAGGTGAGTGCTCTACCATTGAGCCACAGCCCCAGCCCATAATTGGGTTATTTTCTTATCATTGTCTTGAGAGTTCCTTACATTTCCTGGATTCCGCTCTTTACCAGATTTGTGATTTGCAAATATTTTCTCTGAGCCTTATTTTTTTTCTCATTCTCTTAATTGTGTCTTTTGAAGACACTTTTAGTTTTGATGAAGTTTATTTTTTCCTTTATGTGCTTGTGCTTTTGGTGCTATAATCTAAGAAAATTTTTGCCAATTTAAGGTCATAAAATATCTTCTCTCTCAGGGCTGAAGTTACGGCTCAGTGGAAGAGTGCTTGCCTCAAATGGGTGAGGCACTGGGTTCGATTCTCACACCACATACAAATAAATAAAATAAAAGTCTAACAACTAAAAAATATTTTTAAAAGTCTTCTTTTTAGCCTTCTTTTAAAAGTTTTCTGGTCTAGGTTTTACAGTTAGTTATGATCCATTTTAATGAAATTTTATCGTATGTGAGGTACAGATCAAGTTTTTAAAAAAATTTTTTTTAGTTGTAGATGGACACAATACCTTTATTTTACTTATTTTTATGTGATACTGAGGATTGAATCCAGTGCGTCATATGTGTGAGGCAAGCACTCTGCCACTGAGCCACAATCCCAGCCCACGGATCAAGTTTTATTTTGTCTCTTTTTCATATGGCTATTCAGTTATTCCATCACCATAATTTGCTGAAAGACTCATTTCTCCTTTGAACTGTCTTTACATCTTTGTCAAAAATCAATTAACTGGGCTGGGGTTGTGGCTCAGAGGTAAAGCACTCACCTAGAATGCGAGAGGCGCTGGGCTTGATCCTCAGTACCACATGAAAAATAAAATAAAGATATTGTGTCCACCTATAACTAAAAAATAAATATTTATAAAAAAATCAACAAACCAAATATGTATAGGTCTATTTCTACATTCTCTATTATGTTCTATCAGTTAATTTATCTTTATATAATTATATGTGATACTATAACATATATGTATACGTATGTATATAAAATCATTACTATAAAGAAATGTGATTGTTACTCATTTGATAATAACATTTGAAATGTTATAAAACTGAAAATTATGACATTGAAAAAATTGAATGAAGCCTTATCACACCTTTTCTTTAGTAGCATTTTATATTCTACATAAAATTTACCTGAATCAACAGGACCCAACTGGCAGGTAAATAGATGGTGAATATATTCCTTGACCCTCAGCTTCTTCCCAGAATGAGACTAATTAGCTGCTTTCTTTCTTTCTCTTCCTCCTTCTTCTTCTCCTGTGATGCTGGGGATGGAGTTCAAGGCCTCGTGCATTTTAGGCAAGCATTAGCTGTTCTTGTCACCCGGCACAGTGATACAGCCTGGCCAGCTCCATCAGGGGCTTCCCACATGTGCCCAGCCAGTGTTACTCTTGCATACGAGTCTGTTGGAAGTCAGTCATCTTCTTTTCAGTCAGGATACATTTACCAAGCATTGAATTATGCAAGGCAGAGTGTGCCCAGGGCTGAGGTTCTGAAGGTGAATCAGACAGGGTCCTGCCCTGCTTGACCATGGATAGGAAGACAGGCAGAGAGCCGAAGAGCACAGGGCACATGCTCTCTCAGCAGGAGGCAGGGGGGCAGTGGAAGCCCAGGTATGGCACATACTCCACATGGGCGGATCAGAGCACGCTCCAAGTGCTGGAGGACAAGAGTCGGGCTTCTAGGAAAAGGGAGCAGACTATCAGTTTCCAAGGAAAGAGATGAGAGGAAGTGGACCTGGAGGATACTGTGTGTATAAGGAGAGGCAGGAGACAGGCCAGGCACGGAAGCAGGCAGAGGCCAGCTTGGGAGA